TATATTCCACCACTTTCACAGTACTCATCTTACCTCTTTTCTGCCTTTGTGGCTGTCTCTTTAACATCTTTAAAACACTCTTTTGTTCCCTCAACCCCCCCCCCACATTCTTGACTTTTTGTCACTTTGATGTTCCTTCTCCTCTGTGAAGCTTGAAGTCAACTAAAGGACTAATGATAACCATCAAACGCCTGCCGTTTGATATAACTAAATAAATGGCGACTGAAATGCATAGAAAGATTAAAACATCTCTCTCCCCCAGCGAATGACAAAAAATAGGTGCCCATTTTTAATCACAATAAACGTGTAACTTACAGCAATCGACTCAATACGATGCTTATTTCGCTTTGGCCCTTTATTCTCACCCCCGATTGACAGTGATGTGGCGTGCGGGGCGGAAAGTCTTCTAAGCCTATCTAAAAGCACCAAGAGGTAGATAAACCGATGTCGAACGTTAATCTCCCCTCTTAAGCTTCCAAACTCGTCTCCATTAACCAGGGCAGACAGTTGATCCACGTAACCTGCCGAGGGTGGCAAAATTTCCAATAGTCTCCAAGACAATTGTGAACCGTAAGCAGAATAGAGCAAACTTGGAGATTCCTCCCACCATGAATCAAAGATTTCCAGCAAACGCATGAATATCACATCGTAGTCTGATCGAGCAACCAAAGTAGCAATGGCAAGACCGTCTCTTTGTGGAGCCGGTCCCGTCTTTCCTTTCGCAGAGAGGAGATCGTAAAAGAACCCAGAAGTGGGACCCTTGTTCGTCAGATTTGAGAACTCCCAAACCTTTGCCTCTGCACCAAGTACAGCCGGACGAACTTGGGCATTGAGATAGCGGGGTGGGTCAAAAATGTAATGAAGCTGATAGCGAAGGAGGACCGTAAGACGTAGGGATCGTAGTATATCAATTGTCGGGTGGGAAATGAGAGTGTCAATAATAGAAGAGAGGAGATCTTTCTTGGCACTATGGGATGCGAAAGCTGAGGTTAGAAGGGAGATGAGTTGGGCCATGTGAGGTGGAAGATCTTCGAAGCTAGCCCGAACAGCTGCATGGCAATAGGACTCAACAACGCCAGGTGATGTGCAGGAGGCGTCTAGGAGATAAGTGGCAAGCAATCTAAAGTTAGCAGGTTCAAGGGGGAATTTCAAATCCGGTGGAAGGAGGTGAAGAAGCTTGAGAACGCGGGGTGAAATTGATGTTGGCGCCAAGGCAAAGAAAAGTGCTGTCAAAGGATGGCCCAAGGACTCCGGATGAAGGGAAAGAAAGTGGACGAAGCGCTTAATAAAGGAATTCTCATTTTGAGTGGCACCAATGGATGATCTATTTGATTCCCTTAGTTGTATAAAACTGTGTAAAGCCAAGATAGCATTCTCAGTGCATCCCAACAAGGATTTGGAAACTGCAAAATGAATTAATTAATTATGAGTAAAATCATATACCAAATGAGAAATCACTAGTATGTGTGTGTGTGTGTGCGTGTGAAAAGAATCATACCTTCATCAGATTCGGATTCCACTTTTTTCTAAATGGAAAAGGGAGCACAATTGTAAAGTTGGCAGAAACACACTAAGAAATAATGAAGGAAAAGAAGTTGGCCTCACCGAAGCAGAGAAAAATGCGGAGGCCAAGTCAAGAAGGTAGACATCCAATGGAGCAGTTAGTATAAGGGATTGACGAAAATCGTCTTCAAGAATAAAGCGTTCGTAGGCATCCACTGCAGCTGGAAAAAAATGGGCAGAAGGCTGAGTTAGAATATAAGTATATATATATATATATATATGACATGCGAAATTGGATGGTGGATGAAACACTGTGACGGCGAACACTGACCTTATTCATCAAATTCCTCCTTGGTCCATTATGCGCAGGATTTTGCGATTTCAGAAAGATAGAGAAAATCAGTTCTAAATTTACCGGTTAAATTTTACTAACCCCTGAATACGATCAGGCCCATTAGGCAAGTCTATTCACATAAGTTACCATCAGTAATACACTATTGATTAGATCAATTACTTTACTTCTTTATTAAGGTTTTGCACTACAAGCTATACAGTAGGCATGAAGGAGTTAAAAGCTATATGAAATCTTACACTACTCTATCTTCGAGAGGCTTTTCAAGAGAAAATGAAGATCAAACATACGTATTAAAGTCGTGATATGATTGCACAAGTAAGCAAACGACAGTAAATTCGACATAGGTGACAATTGATAATTGAGTGTGCATAATAAACACAAACGTACTCAGTCTTTCTATCCAATCATCAGAACTGGCAGAAGATGACCCAGCGTCACTCTCAACCCCTCCCTCCTTCTGTAACCATGGAGCTCGATTAAAAAGACCAGAGGCGATATTTGGAGACCCTGAATTTCCCGACAATTCACTTCGAAGGCTTTCCAGAATGGACGAGGTGAATTTGATAAAACTATCCGCACGAGGTGCCAATAAAATTAGCGCATCGGTGTTATTTTGAGCATTCGATATGGGATTGCAGTATGATGTGATCAGGCAGAGCTTAAACCACAGACAGGCTACATCACGTTCAAAGCATTCAATTTGGCGGTTATTCTGAAAAGGAAGTGATTGATATAAAAAATTGAGCAAATTTGTGTAAGAAAATAAGACTCGGAATCTTTGCACAATGAAGCTTTTACAATAAAGACAACGAAGATCACTGTCGAAGTATTGAGAGTAAGATTAGGTAGGGTTATCTTATCCTAGAGGCGCACTCATTAGAAACTAGTATGTTACAGCTTCCTTTTTGACCAGAATAAGTATCACTAGTTTGGCTTCCACAACCATCGATTTACCATCCTCTTACTTCACAAATATGCACGTTAACCGTTGCACCATAGGTGGTAATAAAATAGTAACCTACCACCCCAAAAAAAGGTAACACGTACCGACCATCAAGTTATTTAAAAAGCCTATATAAAAGGGGTAAGGTTATCCAAAACCCTTGAAAAGGAAATGCACTCTCACGGTTAAGTAAAGAAATTAAACACAGGAATCAGCTCTTACAAAACCATGGCGCGAGACAATTGAATGCAATGGAGTGCTTTTAGTAATTAGGAAGGGTTATGGCATACAATACAGACACATACCTTTCACAATTCTAGATTATAATAAGGAGTCGGTGCAACCAGTTTCATCACTTCTTAAAATCTGATAAAAGACTAAGGTGGAGTACCAGTAGGCTTATTGAAATGCAAATAAGTAAATCGATTTCGAAAATGCGAGTAATTAACCTCAATATTTACTTAAAAACTGGTGGGTCAGAGTAATTTGAGCATAAAAATAATAAAGTGGTTATGCATAATACGGATGTAATAAAAAAACGAAAATTTCGAAAAGGGAGTATCATTCCAACCTCAACAGTATTGAGGAAATGGTCAATTCTTCAAAGATTTAAGATATTCACGATATTATAAGACGGATTATTCATTATTAGTAAATTGGATCATTTAATGCTGGTTCAGTGGTTAGTAAATTCGACAAAATTGTATAATTTCCTATGTCGATAAACGTGCCAATGCTTACACTTTGAGCAGTGTTAAAGGACATGTCATATAATTTTAAAATAGCGAACATTATTCAATAAAAGTCCCCTTAAATTTCTAAAGTCCCACCTAACGCAGTCGCAGCTGGAGCTGGTTTATAGGTAGATTTAGGGTACAACAATAAACTAAACGGTTAGGAAAACTTAAATAGAAATTACCGAAAATTGGACATCAAAAAAGTAATGGGCTTTAAGCTAAACATTAGCAAATGTAGAACAATTGTAAGTAATACAATCAGTCTTTTGTTATCAAGTAGATTTAAACTGAGAAATCCTAGATTTAGCTGGATTATGAAACGAGAAACCGAACGGCACAAAACAAGGGACAATGACAAGAATTCAAACCCAAAAAAGATTATCTAAGGAGGAGTATTAAAATTTTACTCCCAGTTACCACAAATCAATGACATGAACCTTACTCTACCGATATTTTACAAAATGAATTTAATGATTTTAATTTTGTTTTGCAAAAGAAAGAAACTGGATTTGTAAATAATAAGCAAAGCAAAAGAAGAAGAAAAATGGACAAATAAAGTACCAACGTAAAATAATTTGTAGAATAAGATAAAAATTGTATGGCATTTCAATTAATAACAATATAAAAAAGACTCCAACAGATACGTCGTCCTAATACTATTATACCTTTTCTATCTGACAAAAGGCTCAAAAATAATCCTGAGGAAGATTACGGTAATAAAGATTTATAGGTGACATTTGACCACTAGGCTCAAATTGCAAAGTGTGGTGCAATATAAACTTGAGAAACTAAGCATGATTAAGCATGTATAAATGGTGACATACCGTAGTTGCAAATAGTGAAAAGAAGGCTTGATTCAAAAGATCCTGAAAGGAAAAAAGAACAGGGGTCACTATAAATATGAGTTAAAAGAGAAAGCTTAACAACAATCACGAAAACAAAAACTCACCAAATTGGCAAAAACATCGTTCGAAACTGCAACAACATCTGTCAAATCAGGGTTCCGAGTAAAAAGATATCTGGAGACATTCTGAATGATAGATGTCATAACTTTGAGTATTGATTTAATCCAATTATTGACAAATATAGTTGGAAGGGAGGTGAGGTTGCATTTGGGATAGTCAAAATTTGAGGAAATCGCCCCACGCAAAATTTGACAAAGAAGACCACTTTTAGTGACAACCGAAGATAGATTCACTTGATTCGAACTAAAATAAAACAACCACTGTAAATAAAACAATTAATGTTAAGTAAGGAAATCGAAGAAGGCAATCATACTTCTGAAGATGTTTAAGCAGATTATGCAAACAACTTAATAGAATTTCATGGCCATCTTCACTCCAGAAAACATTTAGAGCAACCGTAGCGTACGACGTCGGAATACGGGACGAATAAACACCATCAATTTTTGACTAAATGAAATAACATGTGAAAAGTAAGCAAATAAAGAATTTCACATACGAGTTCCGAAGATATATCCTCAAATAATTCTTTTGCAACTTGAGCTTTTTTCACTTTTTTCTTCATGTAATCAAAAGGAGGATCAGTCACACTAGTCAATAGGTCAGTTTCACCGCTATTGGTAACAAGAGTGTGAAATTCGGATTCGTCAAGCTCTTCGGGTATAGCCTCATCAGAAAGTAAAACCCGAAGACCATAAAATGGATCATCCTTAATAGATAGCTAAGCAATAAATTAAGTCATACCGATGAATCAGGAGTACTAAGTGCAATCTGCGACAAGGTCGCTCTAGTAAGCCAAGCGATTGAATTTTGGTGAACCAATTGATCATTGGAATCTAAGTCTAATAATTTAGAATTGAAAATAAAATTGCTTACTTTTTACTGTAAATCGAGAGCACAAAAAGGCAAGACAATCCTGGATCTCACTCGGAATCTTAATATCAGATAAAGACTTGGCGGCTTCTAAGCTATCAATAAAGGCCTTAAATTCAATCGAATCCGATGGAACACCAGAAAATCTTTTTCTGACAATAATTGACAATGTCTTCTTCATTGTCAGTTTGTTAAAGAAAAGGCATGAACTAAGGTGAATTTCTACAGCGAATAAATCTCAATAATTATTACTAGTCTAAATAGAATTAGGCGGCATTTGATTAGTCATCAAAAGTCCAGTAAATATAGAAATACCACATTTCCCAATAGCATACATTTAAAATATTATTACGAAATTTTCTTTATTAAATTAAGAAAATATTTGCATTCAAGTGCTTGAATAAATACGATGAAATGTAGACAGCAATTAAATTTATAAAATTAATTGCCATATAATCATTTCTCTATATTTGTTATACTACTCAAAAATAAGATTTCTCAAATTTTCTATTTTTGATAACCTTGGTTGCTATGGCAAATTTTGCGAATATTTGATAATATTATGAATCCAGATGCACCAGAATTAGAAGAAGTTCGTGAATCAAGAACTCTTAGCTTTCTAAAGAAAAACACTTTCCAAAGCAGAGAAAACGGCAGTTTTATATTTTCCGATAAAATAAATGAATTTGAAAGGATTTTGGCGAACAGACGTTTTAAAGCAGAAGACAGAAATTTCGATCCGGATAAGGTTCCTCCCTTAAAGGACTTATCTCTGAAACAAATAATTGAGAACTTTTCCTGTAAGGTTAAAGTTAAAGTTGAAGGCTTGCTTTGAAAAGTCTCAAAAGCTAATAATTTTTATATGGAGCATCTAAACCGATATTTCGAAATTTATTAAATAATCCCTTAAACTTTTCTAGTTCATTACTAAATCCGAAGATTTCCCTTTTACTGCATAAAATGCTTAGCTATTAGGTTCCTGTTTCATTTGAGAAACTTAAAAATTCTTCTCGATTTATTTTATACGGTCCCCAAAACTTGCAAAGTAGCGTCGTGTTAATACCACGCTCCATTTTTTACCAATCAACTTCTTTAAAATACTAAGAATTTTCACATTATTATCTTCTAATGAAGAACAATGCATAAATAAGCACTCACACAAACTCAAATTAATGTCTACAGAAGCATTGGCATCTGAACGCGACTGATTTCGTTCAAAATAAGTTCATTCAAATTTTAAAGCACATGATTGCGTTGTGCCAGATTACCCACCGATTTTTTAATGTTCCTGTACCTAATCTCTATAGCAATAATTTTGAAATGGCATTGAAGTAGCTTAGGTAAACCCCTATTTTTGGAAGAAAGCCACAAGTGATTTTCAAAAATGTGAGAGAGACCGATCAAGCGATAAGTGCGTCTCTAGCTTATATTAAATGAATCTTATTTCTTAATTACTTTTCAGTTCTTTATCAGAATAGACTACTTTTAATTGAAAAAATCTGTGAAAGCAAATAGAATCTAGTTATCTTGAAAGCAAATTTTGCTACCACTTAATCTAAAAGTCGATTATTTCATTATGACATTGTGATCGAGTGCTAGTGTCATAAAAGCGAAAACGGGATCCATGGTTATCATTGCGCACAATAGCCTCTCTGCTTTTTCATATTGAAATAAAAAATTTTATATCTCAGTAATTGAAGTACTCTAAATGAACGTTTTTCCTAGCACAGTCGATTGCAGTGCCGTCCATTGCTTGAACAAAGACCAATTGAAACAAGTACTTGATACTCTTCCTACGACCATTCCACTCAAGGTCGCTGCATCGGCAATTTCGGATGGGCCATTTTGGAAGCGAATGGCTCTCTCCCGTTGGAAAGTCGTGGATATCGCACGCCACGGTAACAGCTGGAAACGCGCCTTCTTTGAAAAGCATGTGGAACAGACAATTGAGGAATTTATTCCTGGTGACACTGCTCCTAGTTCTGTTGATGAGACTCTTGACTACGCGGCTAATTATATCCAGAGTATTAAAATTAAAGAAATGCTCCCTCCTACAAAGGATTCCAAATTAAAAGAGGTAGGGATGTATTTATTCGTTTCGACGATTATAAAAACACAATTCAGAAAATTCTCAAATATTTATTTACACCAAATGTCAGGCTTTATGATAAGTATCATTAGACCTTTAGTTGACTTCTGGCTTCTTAGAGGGGAGGAATACCCAAGTCACAAAAATGTTGAGAAGGGAAACAGGAGAGTCTGAGACAGACACAAAGGTGTAGATAAAAGGTGAGTTGAGTACAGTGCAGTCGGGTCATGGTAATTTGGCGTCAACTATTGGTTTTTTGATTTTTTGCCGTATGAATATACTTCGTTCAGGGTGCAGCACATGGAGGTAGGTCTATCGCGTATCTCATCGTAAAATAAAAAAATTTGATTATGCAAATGTTTTTTAAATCGGTAGAGGCGTGATCTTTTGAAAGAATAGAAGGAAGTTTGCAATTCAATTTCGGTTTTCATCGATTCACCTTAATTTTAAATTCCACTTTCGGGAAAGAGTTCGAGTAAAAATAATTCCAAACTCCTTAGCCAGTTGATTGGATGTCATGGTTGTTTACATCATCTATCTTCACAAAACGCCAAAAACTTGACATCTCACTACGGTTCATTGGAGTTTTTATAGTCCTCTTTTTTAATTGCGACCATTATAATTAAGTACTGTACTTAAATCTCAATAAGTAGGCAAATTGTTCAAAGAAGAGAATAGATTAAGATTGCGCGTCAGTTGGTAAAAAATCATAAATCGTCCAACCGCATAATAATAATAATAATAATCTTTTCACATTTTAGAAATTCCCTTTCGTCAAAACAAAGAAAAACGTGACCTCCTATGACGACGATTCTCAGTGGGATTTTGAAATCAATGAAGATGAGTCATCTTCAAGCGAGGATGAAGAGGAGTACGCTGATCCTCAGGCTGATCATCTTGATTTGGGTCCTGTAATTGATAAGCTGACAAATTTGACGCATCTCTCGGTGCAATATCGAGTACGCGATGCTGGATTTGATTTTGAGTGGGATGATTTCCTATTCACTGGGCAAGACTGTATTTCCTTTTCCAAGGTGGTTGGTGCTCACAAATTATTGACAGTTCTTGAACTTAAAAAGTAAGTTGAACGTGCTTTGATAAATGATATTCGATATCCATGAATTGCAGAGTACTCTGGTATCGTACATGGGATGTTTAGATTCTCTACCTTCCATGCATTATATTTTTTTGCCATGTAATTAGGCAAACAGTTTTAGGAGAAACGTAAATTACACAAGGCGATTGTAGGCCCAGCATCAAGTTTTAACCAATTCCTGTAATAAAAAAATGATAATCTGTGTTTAAGATGCTGTTTCGAGTAAAAATAGTCTATTGGCTATTGGATAATTTTTTTGTGTTTCGGTCTAGAATCTAGATTGCATGTAAGGGCATATAAGACAATTATGCTTTCATCCCTGGCAAATATAAACTATATACTACTTATTACATCCCAAGTGGTTGTCGTGTGTTTAAATTACCAATCCTATATCTACTTAAAATTGAAATGTTGCACCGTTCAATAATTTTTTTTTCAAAATAGGTGGTCCAATACTAGATTCTCATAAGAACATAATCTCAATTTACTCGAGTAACATGTTGTGGACACAACCTTTAATGAAAATTGAGAGCTTGTTTGAAAAACTGCATCATTCAGCTGATAATTTTCATTATATCAAATGGCAGACGTTATGTTATTTATCATTAGCCCTTCAGTTGACTAAGGGCTTCACAGAGGGGAGGAACATCAAATTCACTAAAGTCAAGTTGGGGAACAGAAGATTGATTCACAGATCTAAAAGAGGCAGACACGAAGGTAGAAAAAAGGGTAAAATGAGTACTGTGACAGTGGTGGAAGATGACGTAGAGTCGGGTCATGGTAGTTGGAAGTCAACTGCCGGTTCATGGACTTTTTGCCGTATGAGTATACGTTGCCCAGGGCGTACCACGTGGAAGTAAGTCTTTCGCACACCCCGTATCGTAAAAATAGGCATAATAATCACTCATTCTATAGAAGTAATTTTGTTCACTTTACTTATCTAGTAGCCGCGTCGATTGCTCAAAATGCCGGGTTCTGGCCCGTCATCTTATAAACCACCCTTCACTAACGGTTCTAAATCTTTCTCACAATGTCATCTCTGATTTGGGCGCACGTTCCCTGAGCAAGCTCATAAGCGGTCGAAGCAGAATAGAATGTCTAGATCTAACCGATAATCAACTAGGCATAAAAGGAGGTGCAGCCATAGGTCAAGCACTCGGCAAAGAAAATTGTACGATTACAAAACTCAATCTTCGTCTGAATCGCATTAAGGATGCTGGAGCTATATCAATTGCTAAAGTGAGTCTCGATTATATAATAGGGTATGCAATAATGCAAGGAAGATAATAATGCTAACCATCCGCTGCTAGGCTTTACAACGGAACAAAAGACTAAAAGAGCTTAATTTGGCGGCAAATGGATTTGGCGATCCATCTTTTAATGCCTTCGGTGAAGCACTTTCTTACAACTCGGGTTTGGAGAAGTTTGACTTGTCAAACAATTCTATCAGTGTGGTAAGTTTTTTTGAGTCAAAAAAAATCAAATTTTGAGCTAAGGCTTCTCCAACTGATTATGTGAGAGTATTGGAATTTTTATGACTCATTCTAATTCAATCAATTGAAAACCTTCGCCCACATACTCCCACATATATATGAGCCAATAAGATGCAGCCATTTTTCTTATTATTTGCTTAAGTGAAATTTTAGTATACATGCTCAAAACAACGAATTCTATCATTATTTCAGGAAGCCGGAAAAAGATTTCAGGAGTATGTGGCTTGCAACAAGTCCCTTATTTATCTCGATTTGCGGTTAACAGGAATTTCACAGGATTTTGAATTATTACTTCAAAAGAATATCGAAAAGAATCACAAATTTCTTCAGAAGCAGGAAGAAAATGCTGAAGTAGGTTATAAGTCGCTTATCGAGAAAATTATTTAAAAAATACACATAGATCTTTTCGAGTGTCATTATTAACTATTGAAAAGAAAAATATCTCTAGCAACTTTCTAGAATGTAAAATCAACAAAATGAGGCAAATTATTAGGAAACAGCAAAGTTCCAACTTTTTGAATTATGCACGCATTGATTTACCGACCTTCCTTATCCATTATTGCAATATACATATTCCAAAAATATGCTAAGCCTGATTAAGTTAAGGGTGGCTTTTAAGAAATCAAGACGCGCATCATTTATGAGCGTCAAATGCGTTAAAGTATTATAACCGTTTTTAAATTCTTTTTTAACATCCTTATTTGCTGTAGTCATTTTGAGTTATTACGTGTTCCAAAAAAGCATTTTCGCATTATTGACAAGTTAGTCTACCTTCTAATTGATTTTTAACTACTTTAGACAAATTACATAACCATTTCCGGTCTGACAAACGTCGCAGTGAATGAACGAAACCTCGACCTAGAAGCAGTCAAACCTAAACCTCACCTATTTGTTACCAATACTACCTCTTTATTATTAGACGCACCAATGCACTGATGTAAAGACAAATTACAGAATAAAATACCGGAGTTCGTTCACCTTTGTACTTATTAGTTGATAAATGTTGGAAGCATGCTTAACACCACCCCTTTATTCAGCATGATAATTGAAGGGGGGGGGATTCCATTGTTCAGATTCTGGTCCACTAATTGATAAAATATGTATTTCTTTAAACAGATTTGGATACGCGATAGAAGGAAGACTCTCTGATTTACTGTTAATTGCTTCGCCGATTGGCCCACCCACGAATTCAATAATTGATACACCAGGTCATGGTAACTGAACCTTGAAGGCTTCGCTCAAAAGTATTCGCTTAGGAGTTCCAAATAGCTATATAATTTTAAAAATCGGTAATCATTGCAGAAGTAATGGATTGGGGGGGAATATTTTCTTTTATCTTTATGATATACAATCTTTTTGCAGCATTTCTTAGTCAGAATCATCTCACAAATTGCACTTTAAATTGGTACTGTTGATCTCATCTAAGCCTTATAGAAGGTTCACATAAATCAGATGCTTTTGGTAATTAAAATCGTTATATTCGCAATGAAGCCATTTTCTCCACAGATAAAAAAATCGATTAAAAACACTGCTTTTCTCAATTCGGCTAATGTCAAAATTATTGGATCTAAAATAACGCGTTTCTACAGTTGCAAATTTGGATGGCTTTCAAATCATTTTAAAATTAGCAGCGTCAACTATCCATGTCCTTTGAAAAAAAATGGATTTGAAACAAATTAGTCAAATACGTCCGTCCACATCTTTACTCAATATACTTTGTGTCAGTGGTTAAAAAAAATCAAAACATTTGTGAAATGAGAAGAGAGTGGAAATGTGAAAAGAAAACAATTGGGTGGGGGGAGGGAAGAAGTGAGGAAGACAGGGCAGAGAGAGAGAGAGAGATAATGCAGAATCACCTAGTGTCGTAAATACAAGTCACAATTTATACACAAAGAAACACAGAAAGGAAGAGTATCTTCGTACTTTTTTTGGGAGATTTAACGTCTTGAGTGGATGTTGTGAATGCAGTGGTATAAAAATTCTACACAATTGACGATTGATCTATGGGCACGTATCTGTTGTTACCGTGGTGACACTAGTTGCGGCCGGTTCAAACGGATTCCTCAATTGATGAATTTCCAGATTTTCTTGAGCATTAAACAATTGTCTTCGAGTTTGTTCCTACAGTAATTTTTTTTAAGTTGTTTAAATAGCTGTTGGTTAAGATAAGAGTTGATCATAGCCCAACATACCTGTAGGAACATTAATCGATCCTCAGATGAGGAATGTGGGGTTATGGAGGAACCGATTCCTGATGAAGATTGGGTTTGAAGATTTTTCGAAGAAACGATAGGAGGATTGGGGCTTATTATTTGTTGATCCTCTCTTACAGATTCCCCGCTACCACAGTGGGGAATCGATAGTTGCTAAAGTAACAATACGGTTTAATAAACTGCGCTTCCTACTTAATTATGTATACATATATATATATATATATATGAAGCAATCTATTTACCGGAACAGAAGAGAATGATTTAAGCGGATTGTGGTTGATTGCATTGAGGGGAGAGTGGATGCTCTTTCGAACCAGGGATTCAATTTCACTGAAACGACGCAATGCTGCGTTGATTCCATTGCTTGAAGGATTTGAGGACGCTATTTCAGTTTTAATAGCAAATAGAGCCTCCTGAAGCTTTCGTTCGCGGTCGGAAATCTCCTCATTGGCTGCAATCTAAATATAAGGGGGAGGGAGACGTTGTGTCAAATCTAACTCTTTTTCTAATAGATAATGCGTGGACATGCATTTTCTGAGAACACAAGTTACGACAGGATTTTCGTGAGCATTTAAAAGGCATTTTGTGTGTGAGAGAGAGAGAGTGCAAAGATGATTTTTTTGAATTTTTCTTGCTGGAGAATATTGACATAAGAAAGTGCGCAATTTACCAAGAAAACCTCGTCCATTAGTGTACCAAAGGTAGAAACCTTCAAGGTAGAACTTACTTTACTAATCTCACAAATAAATGAGAGCACATAAGTGGTTGTATTTTAGAAGCATAAATGCAGACACTTACCCTAGCTTGTAGATAGGCATAATTTCTTCGTAGAAGGGCCAATTCTTCAGAAAAGGCACTTGCGCGACAGCACTGCTCTTCAGCAACACGCTCGAGATCGGCCAGCTCTTTGGCCGTCCGACGTTTCAACTTTTTGCAAGCTCGTTGAGACGCCTCCAGCTGACTTCGTGTTGAGGTTAAATCAGATACAATCTGACTATGATCTTCCATTAACTTCGTGTTATTTTCTGTTAGGGTTTCAATCTTGTGATCTGCATAGAAAGCATACTGTCAAGTTAACTCGAGATTCAATTTGGTATATGCACAGTCATCTACCCCTTATAAAACTCTCTTTCCTTTCGGGAGAGATCTACTTCGATTTGATTAAATTAGAGGAATTAATTTGCAAATAAGGGGGTGTGTGATAGACTTACCTCCTCGTGGTGCACCCTGGGCAACGTATAATCATACGGCACAAAAGTCTATTACCTGGCAGTTGACTTCAAACTACCATGACCCCACTGTATGTCATATGCGACTACTTTCACAATACTCATCCCACCTTTTTTCCACTTTATCTACCTTCGTCTTTGATACACTCTTCTGTCCCCCCCCCCTCTTGAATTTTTTACACTTTGATGTTCCTTCCCCTCTGTGAAGACTGGAGTCAACTAAAGGGCTAATGATAACAATCAAAACGCCTGCCATTTGATATAATAATAATTTGCAAATTAGTGAAATACTTACCTCTTATTCTAAGAAGGTTTTCTAACTCTTCCACACGAGATGTCGTTTCATCTGATGCAGCAGAAAGACTCTGCAAAAGTTAGAGGATAGTATGAAAATAATAAATTTCGATTAAATTAAGGAAATTCAAGTACTTTAAAGGGCAAAAAAGGTAACAGAAGGTTGTGCACTAACCTTTAATTTTTCAAATTGCGCTTGTCTCTCGGATACTTCACGAGTTAACCTCTCATATTCGGCTTTCTGAGAAGCGATTTTCTACAAAATGTTATCAGCAGCCTGATAAATTGATTTATTCACTTAACAAATTATTTCCGGTTCCCTAGTGCACTAACCTCATTCATGGCTCGAAGCTGATCACTAGCTTTGGCCAACTTTGGATTGGAGTTTGAAGTCCTAAGCCTGGTGGAAGAAATTTTCAACCTGAAGGAAAAAGCAAGAAACAACAACAATTAGTTATTTGGGGAAGGAGCAACATTGATCATTTTTAAAAGAAAAAATTGACAGGCTGGGTGTATACTACTCACTCGATATCCTCTAGCTCATTCTTTCGAGCGTGAACCTGATCTTGCAGTTTAGTGAGCTCATTCTTAGCGGCAGCCTTTTCAGAAGCAATCTTTTGAGTAGAATTGACCAGTCGATCGATTTCCCTTTCCATGGCACCAATCCTAGACTCAGAAGATGAACAGAGATCGGAGATCAGTCTGAAAATATGGGAAAAAGGGAATGAGAGTATTCGTCAACAGCAGAATTTGCCATGGACTTATTTAAAACTTGATCAGGTAGTTAATCACGACTAAGACTTACTTTTGTTTGACCTCAACGCTGGCCTCAAACACTTCAAGTTGACCCTTGAGTAGTTCCCCTTTTTGTCTTGCAAGAGCCAATTGGGTTTCAGCATTTTGGCGACGAGTTTGTGTCAAGGTCAACTCCTCCTTGGCATCCAATAAGGATTTCTCCAATTGATCGACCTCCTCTTTCTGCAATTATTTAAATAAACCGTAACACTGAGAATTCCATTTGAACAGAAAACGAAAAAAATATTGTGTAACAACTAACCCTGGCTTTTCGTTTAGCTTCGAGCTTGGCTATTTCATCTTTGTGCTGACTAACATCATTTCGAAGATTATTCAACTGCTGCGTTAAGTCAGTGATGTCCCTACTGATTGTTGGAATACCGTCTGTCGTCTAGAATTTTCAAATAATTATTAAAATTAATCGAAATGGCTCTTTTATAAAAATATTGAAGCACATACCAAGTGAAGAGAGGACCTAGTAGAGTTAATTTCCGAATTCAGACGATCTCGTTCCCGACGAATTGAATTCAACTCCTCCTGAAGTGCCAAAAAAGGCAGGTGGGCATAACTTCATTCACATTATGAGTTACTGATAAGCTAATAAGTAGTTTATTATATACCTTGGCAGTGCTAAGCTCGTCTACTTTAAGTTGGAGTTCTCGATTAATGTTTTCCAATTGGGTCTCAGCTAAACGCATTTCCTGAGTCTTCTTGGAACGAAGTAATTCAATTTCAGCTGTACGGACTCCGATTTCTCGAGAGAGGGACTCCATTCGATTACGAGCTTCAACAAGCTGCAAGGCAAAAAAGAACTTGATAGGTAAGCAATCAAATAATTGACTCATGTAAGTTGATTAGAGTTGTTCAGAGTAAAACTAGTTTTGGTAAGGAAACTCACTCCAATATTTTTGAGAATCGAAAGTACGGAATCATGAGATGTGGATGAAAATCCCTATAAGAATACCAATAATTTTTCGAACAATAAGTACTGATGATGCAATCATTACCGAGTATGGGATGTTTCTAATGAATCCTCAATAAATAACTGTTTCTCTTGAGTTGCAATGAAACAAATAACGCCAATAAAATGGCAGAAACTATTTAGGTAAAGACTAATCATAGTAAACCAATTTTCCAAACGGAGATGCTCCGAAGTGGTCAACGATCATTGTCGTAAAAACAATTTTAGGCGGGTAGCTGTAACTGTTCGCAAGCTTCAAATGCTCAAAGACCCATCTCATCATGGCCACTGAATACTGAACGGAGAATAGGTCCACCATTTAAGTAAATAAGGTCAAAGAAAGACATTTGGGGTACATCTTGAGCTAACTATTTTCGTTTCAGTAGAGAGTGAATAAATCATGATATCATGAAAAAAATCGATAAACGGAATTCGCAAAGCCAGCTTTGATGCAAGGACATTAGGGCAAGTACATTAAAACAAATGTGTCTTGCATCTAATAATGATAAAAACAGTAATTTTTCCGACCCCTATAGAATGGAAACGTCGATTTAACAACGAACTAACCTTGTGGTGCTCCGTATCATATTGAGGAGACATGGAATTGATGCTATCTGATCGAGGATTTCCGTCACCACCGAAGGAGACTTCAGTTGTGAAACCGGTGAATCTGAAATGACACACCAAAATTTCTAAAATTCATACCAAAAAGGAAACTTGCGGGCTTTTAATTCAGCTGAGGAGGGTTTTATTGGAACCCATTCCACCAATCATTGGGCTAATTCACAAAACACCGCCTGAGCAAATGGCCTCCACGTTGTAGAGAGCTCAGTATGGTCAAGATTTTCGGGCTAAAATGAGGTCTATTTTCGTAATAATTTAATGGTCTGTTGATTTCCATAATACACAAAGGATGGAAACTCCGAGACTCCGTGGGATCAACATACGATCAATATTTCACTATTAAAGTAAGCCGATTTCGATTTAGACATTTCAACGTCAATTAAAATGGTAAGCAGAATAGCCTTGATATGAAATGATCTTCGATATTCAAACGCATTAAACTAAAATGCAACATTTTGAATTACTTACGCGTGTGAAGGTCTTTTGTCTCCCAAAGCCCGTTGTTTGTCGTTGACCTTTCGTGAAAGTTCCTCCAGCTCTTCAGTCCTGCGTTCCTTCTGTCTTTCCATTGCGGAAACCTAGTCGGCAAAATAGATTATGAGAAATCGGAATAAATTATGCGGTGTAAAATTCAAGGTCATGTAATGTTATGTACCTCAGCCTTAAGAGCGCCAAGATGATTGGTCAATTCAGTAATCTTCGACTCCAAACGTTGGGATTCGGATCGTTGTGCTTCCAATTGACCATTTTGTCTACAAATCGAGATAAATGACTAATTTAGACGAGACTGATTTAAAAAAAAACACCAAGCATTAAGATTAGAGGACTTACAACGACCGCTCGGAAAGTATGGATTTGACTTTTTCATTGGCAAGAAGCAGCTCCTCTTTGCTAGCAAGGAGCTCATTGGTTACACGTGCCAACTCGCCTTCCCGTTCCTATGACAAAGTAGAAAGCAAATAAGTGGGCTAACATGTGCTTTCTTAACTATTATGGCAGGTAATTAAGGTTTGTTGGTAAATAATGCAATTATTCCACAAATCGAAAAGTGGTACTTTTCTTCTTGGCAATGCCTATTTACGTGTAGTAGTGGAATAAACAACAAAAAGCAAATGGGTAACTCATAGCGAAAAAATGCCAAAATCCCAGAAGCCACTATTTTAAAACTTATTTTGGTATTATTGGGGAGGGTGGGGGGAATCATAGAGAAGTCAATGACCACAAAAAATCAATCGAGCAAAATACATGCAGAATATTTTTAACATTTAATCAATTTACCTTCAATAAGGATTGAAGTTCCACGGACGATGTTTTAAGCTCCTTTAACTTCGTCTAAAATGAGTGCAAATACCAATCAGAAACGAGTATGAGCTGACTGTGATGTATATTACTGAAATAACAATTGAGTAGCATATTACCCCTAGTGTTACCATATCAGCTGCGTGTGCTCAGGTAATAGAAAACACTAGCCTATTATTTTGAAAGACAAGAAAGACAAGCAATGAAGTTTCAAAGTATAAGAGCTTCAATAGCCAGTACTCGAGTCTCACAGAATGAAATGCGCAAAGTGGTGTTTCAGCAAAGAAATAATGAACCATAATAAACCTTAAAATAGAACGCAAAAATTACCCGAAAACAGAAAAGATAATAAAAAAATTTAATTTAAAATTTAATATAAAAATCTCAACGTTTCGTTCTGAAATACGCATTTTCCCCCCATCAGTTATATTGACTAAAGAAAGGAGAAATGCTATATTTATAGATTAGTTTTTTACTAACCGACACAAATGAAAGCCCGCATTAAAAATTAACATAACAGGAAGCGAAAATTAAAATGACCAGTTTCCTGTTGGGCAACTCACTTATTCCAGTAAAACGCATTTATCTAGTTAACATTTTATATTACTACAACATTAGCAATAATGTCCCCGCGGCATTCAATGAGCCTGAACAACACTCATGTTATTGGATGAGACAAAAAAGTTTATTCTATTTTTTGAGCCTTCAAATTCTGACACCTATCAGCCCAGGTGCTACACTTTGAACAACTTTGGTAAACCATGTTCACGAGGTTCGCGTGTGCCCGTTAAATGGTATTAGGTTGGCAACTAAGTCATTGCCGATTTCAAATAAGAAGGCAAATTTGGAATTTTTGTTTAAAAATATAACTTTATTCAATTAGATATTGGCCGTTCTTGTCGATGACCTTTTTCCATCCTTCTGGCAGAGTAAAAATTCCCACTTCGTAAAATGTCTGGTCTTTGCTATTAAAAAACTGAATTAGGTGTGATCCGACATCATCCGCGTTGTTACAAATTTTACCATTTAAAGAGTTTTGCATGGAACGAAACAAATGGTAATCCGAAGGCACAAGGTCAGGGCTATATGGTGGGTGTGACAAAACATCCAACCCAGTTCCAATAATTTTTGCCGAGTAACCAAAGATGTGTGGGGCCTTGCGTTATCAAGATGGAAAACAACACCCTTCCGATTTGGTAATGCCGGCCGCTTATCTTCAATTGCATCCTTCAGTTTTTCGAGTTGTTCAACATACACATTTGAATTTATCGTTTGGTTCTGCGGCATGAGTTCAAAATACAAAATTCCTTTGTGATCCCACCACACTGACAGCATAATCTTTTTTGGTGAATCTCTGCTTTCCATACTGTTTGGGCTGGTTGATCTTGCTTCACCCATGATCTCTTGCGAGTAACATTGTTATAAACTATCCACTTTTCGCCGCCAGTAACTAGGTTCTTCAGAAATTGATCATTCTCATTGCGTTTCAGTAGCGAATCACAGATGCTAATCCGTTGCGTCAAATGAATTTCCTTTAACTGGTGAGGGATCCATAAATCAAGTTTCTTCACATAACCAAGGGTTTTTAATTTTTTTCAATGCATGTATGCGACACATTGAGCTTCTCTGCAATATCTCGTGTTGTGCTGTGACGATTTGAATCGATAATGGCCTTGATATGGGTTTCATCCACTTCGACTGGGCGGCCAGATCGTTGTGAATTTTTCAGTGAAAAATCACCGGAACGAAATCTTTCAAACCAATTTCGACACTGCCTTTCTTTTAAGGCTTCATCTCCATATACGGCACATAACTTCTTTTGTGCTTGCGATGCGTTCTTGCCTTTTCGGAAGTAATACAATAAAATGTGTCGGAAGTGCACGTCCTGTTCTTTCATTTTTAAATTGGGATAAAAACAAAACTAAAGAACTAAACAAAAAAAATTTTTACTAA